GGAAATATGAATTGCTAAAAAAGATACTACAGGAGCTCTCTTCTTAAATAATCGTGATAGCATGCAAATGATGCAAAAATATAACATCAAAAACACAACTTTTTAGCTTATATTAAGACATGATTCAGCTTTAATAAAGCCCTCTTCAATTGTTTGAAGCTCTTTCAATGAGCGCACATTTCTTAGGTTTCCGTTAGGTTTTCGTAGTTTCTTTGTTGTTTGTGTTTGTTGGTCGCTTAGTTGCTAGGATTTATAGAGAGTGGCGCGTGCAAAACACTCAGTTTGCTGAAGAAGGCCGAAGTGCCGAAGCGTCCAATAAATAGAGTTATTATAGCTTCAAGTTGGTGTTTTGTTCTATTTCATTCTACTTACATATACTACTATATATATAAAAAATAATATTTTGATGTAACTTAATTAATCTATATACAGCAACCATTGTAATTTTATACACCTATTTCAAAAAACGTTGTCAGGGAGAACGGCGAACGGCGATTGTCGAAGGGAAATTGCACAGCCGAAAATACTATGGTAATACTGTTTTGACTAACAAAATTTCACCTTGGATTCACCTTGCATGGAAATGTTGATTAAATAGAGATGGTATTTACCGCAGACTATCTTACAGTGTAAATCAGTTGTTATTTCGACTCATCAATTAGAAAAGCCCATGGCTACTTTCGGTCGTGCATTTGCCGTTCGACAATTTGCATTCGACATTTTACTCGACAACCAATTATGAAATAGCTATATTTCTGATTATATATCTCAACAGAAGTGAAAACTACAAATCTTTTTATGATGGGATTATGGTATTTGATGTTTATTAGCTATGTAGTAACTGATTTACCTGTCTGGATAAAACTACTGCACTAGTTATGTATTTCTTGATAATGAAAGAATCTGATATCAGATTCTAGCTGATTCTCAGAAAGTTTTGCATGGCAACTTAGACTACCTTACGTCACTGATAATACCATCTAAATGCCGGTTTTTGCCTCGGCTTTTTGCACTGCAATTTTGACTGATAAAACAAATTTTGTGTTATCACTTTTGAGAAGTTTAGTCAGCTATACCTTATACAACTTTACAAGTTCATCCTTTAACATTTTTCTCTAGGATAAAGGGAAATGGTTATGAAACCTTTTGTTGTAGGTTTTTGTGCAATTTTGTTCTAAGCGTGACAGTGCACAATCTTTTGTTTAACTATTACATGTATTCTAGCCATACTGAACAAAGAGAAAATTATTCTTTAGACTATTTTTTTCAAAATGCACGAAAATATTTTAACCAATATTGAAATATTTCATTTCATAATCTCAAAGAGGGTGTTTATATTTAGTCATTTGCTATTTCCATCGTCCGTAAGACTGAAAGAAGTTGTGCACGGTCTTGACTGATTCAACCTCAAAAAAGTACAAAAGATGTACAAAAAGAAGTACAATAACATGTTTACAAACCATCACTGGGAAAAAATCGCGCGCTTTAAAGGTTGTAAATTTGATGTAAAATATGATGTAAGCGTCCAAAATTCTGTAAATTTAATGAAAATCATTTACATCAAATTTACAGAATTGTAGACACTTACATCATATTTACATCAAATTTACAACCTTTAAAGCGCGCGATTTTTTCAAAAAGTCAACAGAATAACTTCCTCAAAAATTGCCACTGCAATCTGTCCTTAGGGTAGCATGATGGTAGCCTTCTTAAGTAAATGTGCTTTGAGATAAGACTGAGAGCCGGTGTTTTGAARGTAAGTGCTGAGAAACAAACACACAGAAGGGCATGTTGATTTACGCTTTCTGTAGTCATTCATCTCCTCAAATCTGTATTTAAATTTCTCAAAACATAATAAAAAACGACAAACAGTTACTGTAAACACTTATGTTTTGAAAATATAGTTCAAGGAAGTATAGAGTGAAAAGCTGTAAGTATATCGTTATTTTTGTTTTGTTTTTGTTTTGTTTTTTTTCGTTAAAAGCAGAAACAGAAAAACGATATATTTTTGGTCAATAAAAAATTGGAATAATTATCATTATTTACTATTTAATTCTAATATTCCTATAATTATTATATTCCTATAATTTATTATAGTCTTTGTTACACCTACTTGTGAAAACGTTGTCATAGAAAATATGACATTTGTATTTAGTAAAAAGGAAGAAATTTAGAAGACAAAAGAAGATCACTGAGGCTGAACGCTCTCTTTTGTCTTGTTTTACTTTATTTCTGTTTAATAATTCAAATGTTTTATTTTCTATGACGACGTTTCTGCAAGTAGGTGTATATCAATAGCCGACTTGCGAATTACGCATCAATAGTCACATACAAAGGAATCAAGACGAGGCGCCGTGCTAAAGACAATAGATTTTTCACAAAAAAGCACGGCGCCTCGTCTTGATTCCTTTGTATGTGACTATTGATGCGTAATTCGCAAGTCGGCTATTNGCATTCCATACCTTATACAAAAGGGTCGTTTTGAGCTAAGATTACTAAGAGTAGCTCTACCATTAAGAAATCGCTGCTGCGTCAGTCTATCTGAGTGAGGTAAGACGACTTGCAACATGTTTAAATGTATTTTTCCATTACTTTTTTAACCAAAATAAGAAGAGAGAATATAAAATATAATAGATAAAATATAAATCAAAAAAGCAAGCTTTTAAAAAGCGCTAAAACATACAAACCATGCCAAATAACGCTATATGTAGTGTGTAGATAATTGCACAAAAGGAGACAAAACAAGCAACATGATTCAGCAACAAATTAGTACTATTTTTTTTATTAAAATTTTCAAAGTTTTTCGTGGTTTAAGTGTTTTGCACTCTATAACATCGATACATATATGGTATTTTATAAACTGGACTTACCTCAATAAGTAATATATCTACTCGCAATTTTAAACATCAATTTCTCAATAGCATTCATCACGTAGTGGTTCTCGATGCTTATGACAATTTAACTAGACGGCAGTTCTTTTTATCCAAATAAATCGATTATGTAGCATGATGTATAAGGATCATGCGCTTTTTCACAAAAGCACCAGACAAACCCCATTATGGGAAAAAAATAGGTAATTTTCTGATTCGTAAAAAAGAAGTTATCAAAGCGGAATTCTTTTATCTGGTCCTGGTTTGACCGCAGATTAAAATTGAACAGAAAATTCGTCGGGAGAGTGTCGGGTATTATTACGTCTTGATTCGCGTGGTGACGTAGGCGTCATTAATACGAGTGCTTCCTGCATTTAGCTATTCATAATCTTATCGTATTTCACGATATACCCATTATTACTCCGGATGCACCGCGACACAGAAAAGAAAGCAATTCTCTGAAACTTTATCGATATTTGAAACAAAGATCAGTCTAGTGYCAGTCAAATTGTTCTCTGATAATATAACTTGTCATTCTCAAAGAATACCGGCGATTTTGTTAAAAGCTGGATTCGGAGACGACAATATAATATGGGTTTGTCTGAGTAGAACGTAAAAAGACCACTTAAAAAACAGAGAATATTAACTGTGTGAGCGTGTAGGGATCAAATATGATATAAATAAGTATATTTGAGTACTAGTGGAGATTTCGTTTTACTTTAAGTGAATGTGGTGTGGACATAGTGTTTCAGTTTCAACTTTTTTTGGGGTCAATTACAATTTACACAGCTTGAGTCGATTGTTTCGGTAAATGCAAATRAATATGTATCCAACGAAAAATCAGCCATTTAAACAACATTAAAGTTAAGCGGAAATTGTACCTGAATAGAAAATGCACTCCAAGGAGCMTAGAAAAATGGCGAAGTTCAAAATTTAAAATGTGAAATACCAACAMCTACAGATTCAATTCTGAATGGCTACACCTTTATGGAAAGAAATTATCTACAGGAACAAGGAACTACAGTGAAACATACGGACACTCGTTTAACACGACMATCCCGTCATAACGGCCATTTTTTTTGGTCACGGCGAATTAGGCCTCCAATACTTTTCTACCCGTTTAAACGCCCRCTCGTTAATACGGACACTTTCCAGTGCACCTTCGGTGGCCGGATCAGCGAGTTCCACTGTATAGAATAATAATRGTCATGTAAGTCGTCTGCCATCTTTTGAATCCGTCCACTGTACGTTGTATTTTCCAAGAATTTCAAAACAGTAGTTCTAAAYTTAGAATATTTTCCCCATTTGCCTTTTAGTTTTCTATATGTTCGGWTTATGGATTCTATGCCCATCATCAACGATTGTTTAATCGTGTCTATAGCAATATCTTATTCCWCGCGTGATTCAAATTAACCACGGCCTTGGAAAGGTGATACGTGATATTCATCACCCAGAACTCTTATCGGCTATGTTTTTACAGTGGCGCAAGTAAGGTGAAATGGAAGCAAGACTTATGCGTTCTAGAATCAAATGTCGACAATATAAGGGACTACGCAATATCTATCAGAAGGGAGCTGATAGTCCAGAGGAGGGGGGGAGGAATCTAATTTTATGTATCTAGACTATCTAAAGAGGGGGCCAACGTCTAAAATTAATTATAATWTAAATAGGAAACTGAAAAATGAAAAATGAACGTTGTTCAGATTCTGTGCCTCTTGGCCAAATACTTATTGAAGTGAACAACTTCTCAAGAAAAGCGTATCACGATAYGCGACAACTCTTTACTCACGAATGATGAATAAATTAATTCACGGGGGGGGAGGGGCGGGGGAGTAATTAAATATTTTGATTTTTGCTCATTTCTCAAACCATCCCCCCTCTTGATAAATATTCCGCAGTCCCTTATTATCTGAAATGGCGTACCGAATATAATGAAGACCATACACTTGCAATAAACTTTTTAGGAGTGCTTAATCCTATAAACCTTGATACGAATCCCTAGTGATCCAATTTTGAAATAATTCGTCTGAGAGACCACCAAGTGCATATAGGATTTATGTTTTTTGTATTTAAAGATCTATTAACTTATATTTCCTTAAAATCCTTACATATAGGATTTCGCAGTCTACATTGCTTGATTATTTCATAATTCTTAATACCAAATTTCAGTCAATCCATTAAGTTGCACAGTTTGAAAAGGCGCACTATGGAACCTCGTTAATCTYTTTCATAAGTGCCTACCATCGGTTTCATACAATTGACAATATTATGGAAATATTCAAMACATATGGAAGAAMTATCTGAAATAGGTTTTTGTGGAAAGTTTTGAAGCTATGGACYAAATACTAACAAACKTATGGAGGAATAAAAATACAGGGATTTGTRTTTAAYTCTTGGCTGAGGCCTTGATAGCCTCGTTTTGATGTTTTTGTAGCACTTCTAACCCTTATAACTTCAAGAAGATTTAATCTTTTATTAAGACCGTAAGACGGGGTCCCAAGTACTAAAMCATTACAACAGAGACATTTGTATATCAAAACTCCAAATTAGCAATTCATAGACACTTYATAATTGYACTTTTCTGAAAAASCATTTCGCATTGCATTGTGGTATAGCTTCGGTASAAAMATCATTTGCAAACATCATGCGACCAAATATGG